ACTGTGCCTGTTGAAGAAGTAATTGAAGATGCATCATTTTCAATAATGCAATTATCATCATTTATAAATTTAAAACAATGAATTGCACAACTGTAAATTATATTAATATTAATATGTAGAGTTTATTTGTAATATAAATTCTTATTCAAATTATTCAAATTATTTTTATTTGTTTTATTATTCATTTTATTTGTTTGCTAATTTTGTTCAAATGAATATTCAATGTATTTAAATACTCAAATAAAACAATTTTTTTGAATTTAAAATTTGATTTGATTCAATTTGTTCAGAGCCTTAGTAAAGCTTTTAGTTCGGCAGGGGGGGAAATCACCTAATAGCATCATTGAAAATGTTCCAACTATATATATGTAAACTTGATAGGTTGGTCATGTGGTGTGGGCTCATGTGATTGACTTATTGAGTAACCAAGCTGTCAAATTAAATTCCTATAATAATAATAATAAGGCCAATTTATTATCAAGTTTATGTGGTAGAATTAGGTTGACACTTGACTCAATCAGGTGACTTTTTGATGCAAGATTTTGGGAATTGAGTCAAAGCCAAATTAAATTTACAACATGTATAGTTCTAACTATACTTGGTGCTAAGGATTACATAAGGAAAAGAATAGACTGTGAGAATTATTATAGGAAAAAATTTACCTAAAAAACATTTTTGGCCTTATAAGAAAAATCTATAAAAAAATAGACTATAAAATTTATCATAATCCTTTAAATTCAGCTTGATATGGTTCAGCTTATAGGTGCTACCCAATTAAAAATCAAGAATCCCAAATCCCAAATGTAGATCAATCTTCCTGTCCTTGCTTTCCTAGCCAATAAGCATCTAATGTAACAAAGTCACTTTTACAAGTCCCTAGGCACTAGAGACCCCAGTTTTATGTGGCAACAAACATTAAATTATGCAAGCAACACTTGGTACAGTCAGTGCTCAATATAATGAACCTATTACTGTTTTTAAAAAATCATTTTATAAACTTATATTAAAAGCAAATAATTTTAAATCAATATTATTTGTTATGCACCATTATACCAACAGGCAGTGCGTAAAATTGAACA